GAAGAATCAGTTAATATGAATCATAATGATACTAATTTAAAAAGAATCTTTTTTTAAGATTTGGTTTTTAACGACAATAAGATCGTTATTTATTGTTAAATCAGTCAAAGGAAATCATTTATTTAAAGACAAAGACATCATTTTTGTTCTGATAATTTATTTTCTGTTAGACATCATTACCTGAGGGATTCACGCAAAATAAAATATATCCTGTTGTACTTTTACGCTTTGAAACCTATAAAAACCTTTAGCCTCCTTTAGTCTTTTGAACCTCTTGAGCTCATTTAGTAACTTTAATCCTTTTAGATTCTTTAGCCCTTTTAGTATCTTTAGTGCCTTTAGATCTCTTTACTCCCTTCAGTATTTTTAGGGCCTTTTAATACTCTTAGTCAATCACACCATAAAATTATTGAAGAAAGTAAAGAGATTTAAAGGCACTACCCACGGAAAAATTTTTGAACAAAAATCGCGAGAAACCGCGGTTTCACAAACTACGGTAATCAACGGTTTTCCGAAACCGCGAAAGTCAGACCTTTTATGCGGTTTTTGAAAACCGCCAAGAACCGCGGTAATTTCACACCGCGGTTTTCACCGGTATCCAAAGCCGCATAAAAGGTCTGACTTTCGCGGTTTCGAAAAACCATTGATTACCGCGGTCTGGAAAAACCGCATTAAAGGTCTGACTTTCGCGGTTTATTCAAGCGGTGATGACCGCAGTGTACCAATACCGGAGTTTTTGGTGGTTTTAAAAAACCGAATAAAAGGTCTGACTTTCGCGGTTTCATGGAACCGCTGGAAAACGCGGTTTCCATGACCATACCTGATTCAGGTATGATCAGACTCACCTGAACTTATGATAAAGTTCAGGTAAGCGACCCTTCAAGGGGTCTGTAGTGAATTTTAGAAGTTCCATTACCACAAAGTTACTTTGTAGTGAGAGATAGAATAAGAAAACTTATGCAAAATTTTCATGAAAATAGCGGGGCACGACATCCTCTTCGTCCTTACACATTCTATCGCGATGGTTTAAGCATAAAAAATACCGCGGTTTCTCTGCTGAAAAACGCGGTAATAAATAACGCGATTATTCGATGGCGTACCGCGGTTTCTGAAACCGCTGAAAGCTGTGGTATTTGCCACTGCAGTTACTAACCACTATACCGCGGTTTTATAAACCATTGAATACCGTATTATTTATCACCGCGGTTACTGATGGCTACACCGCGGTTTTAGAAACCGCTGAATATGGCGGTATTTATTACCGCAATAAATAATGACTATACCGCAGTTTTTGAAATCGCTCAATACCGCCCTTATTAACCACCGCGACTATTGATGACTATACAGCGGTTTTAGAAACCGCTAGATACCGCGGTGTTTATCACCGCAATTACTGATGACTGTACTGCGGTTTTAGAAACCGTTCAATGCCGCAGTATTTACCACCGCTGCTATTGGTGACTATACCGCGTTTTTGAAAACCACTCAATACCGCGATGTTTACCACCGCGAGTATTGATGACTATACCGCGGTTTCTGAAACCAGTGAATACTGCGGTATTTATCATCTCGGTTACTGATGACTATACCGCGGTTTTGAAAACCGTTGAATACCGTGCTATGAAATACCGCGGTTTCCAATTACCATACCGCGACTTTTTAGACCGTTGAATACCGCGGTATTTAGAACCGCGATCATGAATACGAGCAGCGCGGTTTCAGAAAACCGCGGTTCAAAAAAACCGCTACCAACCGCGGTTATCCAATCCAAACCGCGGTTTCCTCTAGTAAAACCGCGGTCGAATGAAAAAAATCGCGGTTTTGAGCGGTTTTTCGAAAAAAATTTTTCCGTGGGTAAAGGTACTAAACAGATAAAACAGACTAAAGATACTGAGTACACAAAAATATTCTAACAAAGCCGTCAAGTACGTCAACATGAAAGTAAAATAGAATAAAATTATTTTTCGTAATCTATAGTTTTTTGAGAATGTATAACAAGTTTAGTGTGAAATCTTGTGGATGAAAATCTTTTCAAATATTTGGGACGGGTTTAGTACGCAGTCCTTTCTAAGAAACCTTTATTGCAGTCGTCGATAAGTGGTTTGATACTAAACCTTTTTGTGAAGACTAAAAAAAGGCTCAGAGTTTGCAGTGGACGAAAAACGGCTTTTGCTTTCGTAAAACACCATCTTCCTTTAGGAGTGTACGGTCAGCACGGACGCCGTGCTCTGCATTGATATCGAGATCGGAAGCGTGACATGCACCGATGCTGACTCGAGGGCCAATACAGAAGCTGTATTCCACATTAATACCGAAATAGTAATCGGGACAAGAAGTGGTACGGATTCTACCACCTAGCCTGCAGTCATGTTTCGTATTGATACCGAAATCGGAAGCGAGACAAGAAGTAGTAAGGACTCTACGAACAGGCCAGCAGTCGTATGCCGTATTAATACCGAGATAGAAAGCGGGACAAACAGTAGTAGTGATTCTATGAGAGATACTGAAGCCATGTTCCGAATTAATACTGAGATCGGAAACCTGATGTGAATTGGTAGCGAATCTAGGACTCTGACAAAAGCTATGTCTCGTATTAATACCCAGATGGGAAGCGGAACAAGAAGTGGTTGGGACCGTATCATAAAAGCCTAAAGCCGTTTCTCATAATGATACTGAGATCGGCAATGAGCAGGAACTAGTAGGAACCCTATAAGCAAGCATGCAACTATATCCCACATTAATACTGACATGGGAAACCGAACAAGAAGTAGTAGAGACTGTACTGCAGAGGCTGAAGCCGTGTCCCATTATGATAGCAAGATTAGCGGCAGGAGGGAAACTAGTAGGGCCTCTACGAGCAAGCTTGTAGTGATAACATGCACTAATACTGTGATGGGAAGCGGAACGTGAACTGGTGATGACTCTACTACTGGCACTGGAGTCGAGTTCCGCAATGATGCCAAGATGGAAAGCGAGACGAGAAGTAGTAGGAATGGTACGATTGATACAGAAGCGGCATCCCATGATGATACCGAGTTTGTAAGGAAGACAAGAAACTTATAGTGACACTGCGTCTGGGACATACGTCGTACCTTACATTCATGCCGATGTCGGATCCCGAACTCGAATTCATATCTGAACAGAAATTGGGATTCCCTTCAGCAATGGTTATTTCTACTTACTTGCAACTGGATGCTTGAGATTTGACTGCGCTAGATGGGTAGCTTCTAGCAGAAAGCTATTGCAAGTGAAGCTTTCATATCTGTGCGTCGTTTACGTTGACTGTGATACAATAACAAAAGAAGCCGTGATTAATCGCACATTTTTCCAACCATTTGATTCAATATGTATTGTCATCGACCAAGCTTTTGCTGCAGCGTAGGATAGAAAGACAAAAACAGCGTAGGCTTTTTGTCATACCAACAATACGCATAAAAGAATGTTTTTATCATATTATTGATGTAAACGGATGAATGCCCAAAATCCAAGGTAGCTTGCTCCTATATATTTGCAAAGTATTGCTTGGTATTATTCAAAACAAAGTTGTTACGTGATACGGTGAATCTGGTTGTGGATGAAGAAAATTTTGGACGAATACAGCAAGTAAATGTAAGTTTTTCGAAAATGTTGTCTCTTCATGAGGTCTTTATGAGAACGAATATCGAGCAGATTTCTTTCTGTGCTATAATAGAACTCCTGACCTTTTGCAGTATTACTTTCGTACTATAACGATTGTTTTACTCTAGAGAAAAACATTCCTAGCGTTTCTATAAAAGAAGCATCATAGATTAGGTACTATAAAGTCATTCTCCTCAAAATTCATCTATAACAAAGACTATCAACACAGTTTCTGAGTGCTAACATAGAAATATAACCATTCAGTGTTGTATCATTCTACCATTTAAAAAAAGATTTAAACTCGCTGAGAAAAGTGTACGATGCCGTGTTTAAAAAGTGCTCTAGAAAACTTTCGTCTAAATGTTTCTCTAAAAATGAGTATCTGATCAACTATGTGCTGAAAAAATGTCTTCCGAGCGATGTGTTAATAGCTTAATATTTATTTTTTGTAAGTTTTTGTTATAGTGCAATAGTGCTTGAGAATTATTTCAGAATGTGAGTACAGAAATTCTAGGTGATAGTCTTACGTAATACAAATATTCCTGTAATGGCTATTATCTGAGAACTATCTATTCTATTTTCAGTCGGTGCGAACGTTTGACTTTTCGAAAGTGGCAGACTAAGTTTTTCCATTGAATACAAATCAAATAGATAGTTTTCGAATTTTGAAGACCAGTACTTTTTTAAATTTCATGGCAGCTTCTTATCTGATCAAGAAAGACGCTTGAAATGTTTTTTCTTCCCCAGATACCATTGCGTTGTCTTTGAGTTTGCTGTTTCTACCAACAGGTAGACGCAGTGTCTAGGAGTTAGATGAGAACAAGAAAAAAAAAGCAGTCACAGAGCACACTAATTGGAGAGAGTTCTTTTATTTAGAAGTTGTCTGATTCTTCTTACGTCAGACGAAGTGATCTTTTCATATCACTTCCTATCCATAATCCAAACGATGCTTGATAGTTCCTTGACAGTTATAATTAATGACTAAATTCGTACAGTAACGCTAAACGGTCCCAAAATATCTAGTCGTATAATTCGAAGTAGACATTATCTATCATGTTTATGAGAAAAAATGGTTTAATATCAATCACTTTTTTGTTTAATTTATCAAAGAAAAGAAGAAACCCATGGAAATTCTGATGATTATCTTGATGACCATGTCTGTCATGGTAATAGAAGGAGCCACGGTATCGCGGACGTTGATCATCGACACAATAACTCCATACTCTAGATCAAGAAAGCCGATTATAGCAGTGAACTATCAATTTCCTGGTCCATTAATCGAAGTAAACGAAGGCGATACTCTCATAATTCGTGTAATCAACAAGCTTGCACAACCGACTACCATTCATTGGCATGGAATTTCTCAAAGGGGTACACCAGATATGGATGGTGCTGTGGGTGCCACACAATGTCCCATTCCTCCTAACACTGAGATGACATACAAATTCAAAGCTTCGCCTGCAGGTACTTCATGGTATCATGGTCACTTTCTGGATCAATATGCAGATGGTCTTTTTGGTCCATTGATTATTCATCGACGAGTAGAGCCGAATAAAGAACACTATGATACTGAGCGTATACTGATGGTATCTGATTGGTATAATGATGTTGCACGAACAAAGTTATCACGTTGGTATCTGAGCACAAACAATCCAGAAGGCATTGAGCCCATACCTGACGCTATTATTGTGAATGGCAAGTTTTCTCAGTCGTTGTTCGTGAAAGCCAACGGTGCAAAACATATTCGTTTTAGAATAATCAATGCTGCCGCATTTTCTATGTATAGTTTTTCAATCGATGGATTACCATTACATATTATTGAACTTGATCAGACACCGGTTAAACCATACACAGTATCTTCCTTTGTTATCAACGTTGCTCAACGGGTTTCTTGCTATGTGAATTTGGATGAATTTGACCAAAGCCTTGTACCTGCTGAAGTGCCAAAGACAAAATCAATTTACATTCGATTTAGAGCGATGGCAGACATGTACCCAGTTGATATTAGAAGCTATATCGCTCCATATGCAACTCCACGTTATCCGTATCCCATATTTTTCAACCCATTTTATCTGGCTGTTTTATCATTCGATTCAAGTAATTCATTGCCTACATATCCAGTCCATCAAGAAAGAACCGAATCGAGTGGTACAGATTCAGATCCCGAAGATACTAATATCTTAGGTGCTCGACCATTCTATCGCACAAATAATCGAATACCCGATGCAACGCATTTTCTGAAACTTGTTATCACATTCGGCCCGGATTCCAATAACATCAATCGTGCATATTTTAACGGTGTTTCGTATGGCTCTGCTTCGAATCATGGTAGCCATCAAGTGAGTAATACGAAATGCGTCACATCGAACAAAATACCATTACTTCATCAGATGGCAATGAGACCTAACAATCTTGGCATTCCATCTCCAATCATGACGAATGCAAGTCGATTGCCAGTTATACAAAGTGATCGAAATGGACACTACTTATTTCCATTTGGAGCCGTCGTCGATATTCTTTTGCAGAACACAGATGAGGGTGAGCATCCATTTCATTCTCATGGTTATAACTTTTGGATCATATCAACTTCGGAAAATCCTCAAGCGGAAAACTTATATCGTGGAGCATATCTACAACGAGATGTGGTGAGCGTGCCAGCTAATGGCTGGGTCAAAATACGACTTTTAGCCAATAATCCGGGTGCTTGGCTCTTCCATTGTCACATTGAATGGCATATGGATGCGGGACTAGCTGCAGCTTTTATAGTTGGTCCCAACGCATTGCTAGCACAAGGCTATAAAATTAATCCTGCGCACAAGCATATCTGCTCAAAATAGTGATGATTCAATTCGTTCAAGCCAATATAATGACTGATCACATACATTGCCCATTCTACTCATTAACTGAGACTCCTTTCTTAATCATTGTCGATAAAATCATATGCTTAAATTCCTAGCGATTGTTTTCTTGACTTAGTTTTAGATTTTTGAAATCTAAATTCCATGTTACAAGCATCAAGATCTTTCCAAGGAGTTTTTCGACTTCTTGTTGTTATAATGTGATTAATTTAGTTCTTCTTTCTTGTTTTTTTATTCTCAACTATTTTCATTAATAAAATAAACTGACTTAATTTGATGAAAGATCTAGATTTAATGCGTCTTGGTGAAGAATGATCATCGGTTTGCTTTGCCTGTATACTGTATTTGTTCAAAATGATTTGGAAAAATCATAAACGCAATACATATAACCATGCAGACTTCCATAAAAGGTTTCGAAAAACTTGATGAAGACGACGATAGATATCTGATGTAGATGGTGTAAGTCTCATATGCTAAGATTCATATTTCACGTATAGAAGATAAGACAAAAAATTTGAAACATCTCACGACGTTTTGTCTTTGCTTTAGAGATTCATCCAGCATTTTTAAAATTTATTATTACTTGAACAGGTAACAATATAAATATACAGAACTGTTATTTCAAAACTTCATCGGACAGATGAATTTTTATGTACTATCAACGTTGAAATGTTTACTTTAAAGCCAGCCAAGTAGAGAAATACAATGCATATGTAAGAGTACATCAAATTGTCATATACTATATTATTCTATTCTAATTTTTGATTTCCTTGTGAATCAATATTGTTTATCACATTAATGTATTTGATTACTTTAAAAAATAAAATTCTCGACGATGAAAAATAAGAGGAAGAATTTAATGTTATTGTAACTAAACGAATGACTTTTTTTGGTTGAAAAATTATTTTTTGTTGAATTTTCCAAAATGTTGAAATATTTTTCTCTTATATTATAATATAAGATTCTAGTCTTAAGAAGAACATCACCTTAAGACTCTCATAACGAGAAAAATGATCAATATTGATTCGTATCATTCATATATTTTATTTAGATAAGGGCAGAAGTGATACTATATGTATATAGTACAAGAGGGTACACAAACATTTATGAACACGAATGCAAAATTTCAACTGATTTATAGACAATAAAAAAATATATTTACGTAGAACTAGTTCATAGTCAACACTTATCATATTGAAACTTTGAAAGAACAATTGGGGTTATGTTGTTAAAGTTAAACAAACAAAATAATTGCTGAACTACAAACAAAATTTGATGAAAGAAATTCTTGATTATAAATTATTAAAATAGAAAAAAGAAATGCGTGAAAATTTTACATCTATCACAAAAGAGAAAAAAATATAATGATATTAGTTTATGCATATAGTATTTGATTTATACGAGTACGATTATCAGTAATATCGTTTAACAATCGTTCATGTTCTTGTTCAAGCTCCAGAAGTGTACGTGAACGTCTATAGAAATAATATCAAATATCATTGATCTGAAAAGAAAAAACCAATCAACAAAATTACTTTGTTCCTCTAGACGTTGATGTTATATGAATTTCGTTTGTTTGTTCTGTTGATATTGAAGTAGATGAGTTTGAAGAATTCTTAATTATGCAAGAAATCATATAGCCAAAAAAAAAGGGAGAGTTAAACATAAAACCTACCATGCTTTCTGTTGTTGTAGATATTTCTGTAGGTAAAAAAAATCCCACTGTTTTTCTAGAAAACAAAAACAAAAATATTATATTCAAGAATCAAAATAAAAAGCAAATAATCAGTTAATGCAAAGCTCAATAAAAAATACTAAAAACCGTTCGCCCGTGCTTATAAAAATATCTGACCTGAACATGCTCTCAATCACATTAAATATTTGTCGGAAAATTGAATGATTACTGAATAGAGATGAATATTCAAAAATCTTATGAATAAAGTTTTGTTTTTGTTCGAAACTTTATTACTATAGTTTCTTTTTATTTACCTTGATAAATTATTTTGTTTGTAATTTATCAATTCAGTTAATTTTATTCCATTATTTCCTTCAATTTTAATCAATTGATGAAGTTTTCTTAAATTAAATAAAGAAATTTTACTATTTGATAATATTTTCATATCTACTCGCGATTTTTTTCAGCAAGGTCTCTATATTGTTCATGTAAACGTGCTACTTCATCATTTATCTTTCCATCAAGACTATTAATTGATAATGAACGTGGATGGAATCCTTTAGTTAATAAATCATTATTTGGTGTCAATGGTGTCATATTACTGACAGCAGGAATAAAATCTATATAGTTAAAAAAGAAAAGAAAAAAACTAATCAAGGTGAAATTTATTAAGAGGAAAAACCTGGTCGAATAAGACCAACAAGATGCTCGGCTACACGACGCATAATATTATCAAGTGCAAATAAAACATGTGGAGCTTGAAGATTTCTTGATGACAGAACATTATTTGCCTAAACGAAAATTTAATTTAAATATGTTTTTCTTTTTCTATAATCAAATAATCAATCATACAGCTTTGATAAAAAAATAAAATGATCGTTCAAGATCAATACGTAAAGCACTGTCCATATTTGTTCTATCACAAATTTGATCTAAATAGTTTATGTCAATAAAATAAACCTTACAGAAAACAAAAATTTGTTTTACCTAATGCATTTTCTAATGAACCTACATTTCCTTGATCCAAATAATCACAAATACCATCTAATAAAATTGAGAGTTTTTTCTAAATATATAGAAAACTTTCAAAAATTCATAAATAATAATATATTAAATTTAATTACAGTAGTTAATTGTTCAGTTTCACTTTTTTCTTCTATCAAACTCATCCATTGATTAACGAGCTAATTAAGAAGAGTTTAAATTTTTAGTTATTCATTTATATTAATTCTTACATAAGCTCGGCTTTCTTCATCACGTAAAAAATTTGCTACTTCGCTTCGACGACGATCGTCAATTGATATTTGATCTGTTAGAATACGAGCTGGTCTTAAAAAAATGCAGTAAATCGATTTTAATAAAAAAAAAAAAAACGAATTTATTAATGCATACTCAAAAAACATGCCGTCCTCGTCAATTGAACTTTGTCTTGACGAAGATGAAGGATCTGATACAACAATAGGAGCTTGAAAAAAATATATCAAATATTTACTTCATTTATATGAAATCCTTTAAAAAAAAGAAAGTATTTACCAGTGCTTGATTCTCGTGTTAATCCAGCTTTTCCTCTAAATAAAGAAAAACCGTGTAGAATTATCAAACGAAAAATAATGCAATTGTCTTTCTTACAAATAAAAACAGTTTAGCATAGGTTTATGACAGCTTCATACCGACTAATTGAGTATGTATAAAACATTCAACGCTTTTAATATGAACTAGAATTTCTAAAACTTTGATTTCATCCTTTTATAGCTATTTGTGACAGTCTCATTTCAACTTACATGATCTAAAGTGGAGGTCTCATTAACTACTCGGATAGGTTAAATGGGTTATTTTATAGATCAGCTCACATAAAAGGAGCCGTTCATCCGACTTACTTAGATAAAACAGTTAGTTAATTGGTCCTCTTATAGAAAAAAGAGTTGATCATCAACAGTTTGATTCAACTCTTAGGAATCATTCACTTATGATTTATCGCAAACCTAGTTTAGCAACAACTTTTCGATTGTGTACGAGAGAAAAATTGCCGAGACTTCAGTTGGGAAGTCTATATATATACTATGTTTCTTCGGGTTGTGTACTATATAAAAAAAATTAATCATGGTTTATCATGTGGAAAAGTTTTCTTCATAATTAACAATGGTGTCATATTAACTAGAAAAAAGCTTTGATAAGACCTTGGTGATATTTACTGTGGTAAAAAATCAAACTTTCCCTGCATATGTTGTGTTAGTCTAATGTCATGAGTCATATTGAGATGATGTAGTCAGAACAAAAAATTTTCTGAATCAAACCTGAAGATTATAGTTAGATGCCCGATATGTTTAACAGAATTATCTAATAAATCATACGAATAATAATATAATTCACGAAAGATGACAAAACACATACTAGTTCATCTACAAAGTGAATCTGAAAAACGAGTCTTTTTTTTTGAAAGATTTGATACCGACGAATTCTAGGATAATTTTTTCTAGATCAGAATCATCTGAAAAAGTTAACGGTTTCGATTGATGACTAAGACTTTATAAAACCTTGGTGGTGCACATGTCTAACTGTGACTATAGAACAGACATGAAGTTGAATTATCATGAGACGTTTTGATTTCAATATTTATTAATATTCATGCTACATTTGAGAAAGATCTAACCTTCTATAATGTATCTTGATTGACCAAGAGTAATAAAACTATTTTCTTATTATGCTTTGAGTTGAATATTGTACAAATTTATTCAAATGATCTCAGATTAATAATAATCAAAATAGAAAATGAATTTTTCTGTTTTATTAGTACACAATATGAGTAATACATTCAATAAAATAAAAGTTTTAGCACATGACAATTTGTTTGATCTTCTCAATAGATCACTTATGAATTTTATTCTCAAATTAATAATCAAAGTCAATTAATTTTTAATCAATCTAAATAACGCTGTCTTTTTTTCTCTTATATTTTTTAATATTATTATTCAACAAGATAGATTTTGCTTTTTATTGCTTCAAAAGCAAACCAAAAGAGAATATTTTCAACATTCTATTTATAGAAAATAAGAATTTTTTTATACGAATATGTATTTAAATGTTCCTCAGTATGCAGATATACCATCAATAAAACTCACATAAATGTTCATCGACAAAAAAACTGAGTTTACAAGCATATAACGAAAAAACTCAAAACCAAAACACCATCTAGGACAAGGTCAAGTCATTTTTTCGAAAGATTTTCTGTTGATAGATTTATTTCCAAGTATTTTACTTATCATTTTTTCTTATCAAATAATCATCAAAGCACTCAAGTTATCAT